TCCAAAACGTCAATCTCTTCATCGTGGACGAAGTGCATCTCATCGGGGGCGAAAATGGGGTGCGTCTGGGAGGGGAGGAGGTGCTTACTAATTTGGGTGGTGCTCGTCATCGTGTTGGCTTCGGTAGTAGAGCCACTGTGGGATGGATGGTTGCTGATGCCTAATAGCTGGTCTGAGGTCAGCTTTTCCCGCAGCTGTGGGATGGGCTGAGATAGGAGGGCTGTATCCCTTGGGAAGCTCAGGACCCCCTGGGGTCTCTATGGGTGAGAGCACTTGGGCTGAAGTGTACAGAGCTCAGCCAGGAGAGGCGACCGCGACGCGGAGAGCTCAGCATTCCCCTCCTCGTCCTGCTACAACCTCCCCTCTCCCGCCCCCAGCCGGTGCTGGAGGTCATCTGCTCCCGCATGCGCTACATCTCCTCCCAAATTGAGCGACCCATCCGTATCGTGGCCCTCAGCTCGTCCCTGTCCAACGCCAAGGACGTGGCTCACTGGCTGGGCTGCAGTGCCACCTCCACCTTCAACTTCCACCCCAACGTCCGCCCCGTGCCCCTGGAGCTCCACATTCAGGTAGGGTTTGGGCAACCTCATCTCCTTTCCCTTCTGCCTCGTTTCCAAACAGTGTCACTGCCTGTTCCTCTTCCCCTGCAGGGTTTCAACATCAGCCACACGCAGACTCGCCTGCTCTCCATGGCCAAGCCAGTCTACCATGCCATCATGAAGCACTCGCCCAAAAAACCGGTCATCGTCTTCGTCCCATCTCGCAAGCAGACGCGGCTCACGGCCATCAACATCCTCACCACGTGCGCTTCGGATGTCCAGAGGCAAAGGTAACAGTGCTGCAGCCCTCCTCTGACAGAGGCAAGGGCAAGTTTTGGGGCTGTTTTCGTTGGGCTGAGGGGACAACTAGTGATGGGAAATGGTCTCATTAGATATCACTCAGGCATCTGCTGTGACACTGGGGAGGGACAGGCTTGCCGGGCCTGGCAGTGGTCTCTTTACTCCCCCTCTCCGGCAGGTTCCTGCACTGCGCAGAGAAGGATCTGGTACCGTACCTGGACAAGCTGAACGACAACACTCTGAAGGAGACGCTCGTGAACGGGGTGGGCTACCTGCATGAGGGGCTGACCGCCATGGAACGGCGAGTGGTGGAGCAGCTTTTCAGCTCTGGTGAGCGGGGCGGGATGAGGACACACCGCTTCTTCTACCCCTAAACCCTTTTCCCCGGAGCTTGGCAGTGCCCACAGTCTTCAGACTGGAGATAACAGCTTGCCCAAGCCTCCTGTCGCTTCTCTGCCTCCTGGGTCCAAAAAGGCTGCGATCTTAAACTTCACCATCTCTCCTGGACCTCCCTGTATGCTGAGATCCAGTGACCCAAGCACAGAACCCCCAGATCTTTCTCCCCCCGCCAATTTCTGTGACCCAAAGGGGTCTGACCGCTCTCTCCCTGCACCTTTCAGGTGCGGTTCAGGTGATGGTTGCCTCCCGCAGCCTCTGCTGGGGTATGAACATCGCCGCTCACCTGGTGATCATCATGGACACACAGTACTACAACGGCAAGATCCACGCGTGAGTGTGTTACGCTGCGGGCAAGAGCAGCCGTGGCTTTCCTCGGGTTTTCAGGCTGCGCTGAGCACGAGGGAACGACGCCCTCATCCCAAAGGGCTTCATCCCTGTCCAGGCAGAGGCTGGGAATCGCGGGAGTGCGGTGGTAGCTTTCCATGGAGCTTCACTAACTCTCTCTCCGTGTCCCAGGTACGTGGATTACCCCATCTACGACGTGCTGCAGATGGTGGGCCACGCTAATCGCCCACTGCAGGACGACGAGGGCCGTTGTGTCATCATGTGCCAGGGATCCAAGAAGGTGGGTGAGGAGCAGGGCACCATTCCTGGCCTGTGAATGTCTGTCTCCTGCCTGGGGGGGTGGATTTCTTCTCCCAGCTTTGGGGCAGGCTGATGTCTAACCCTCGCTCAGAGCCCTGCTGCCTGGGAGGTGCTCTGGGATTTGGGAGGTGCTGGTGTTTATTTACGCCTTCCCTCTACTCCTGCCCCGCTGTAGGATTTCTTTAAGAAATTCCTCTACGAGCCCCTGCCGGTGGAATCACATTTGGACCACTGCATGCACGATCACTTCAACGCCGAGATCGTCACCAAGACCATCGAAAACAAGCAGGATGCGGTGGACTACCTCACTTGGACATTCCTGTATCGCAGGATGACTCAGAATCCAAACTACTACAACCTGCAAGGTGAGCAGAGAGGGGTCTGCACTGGTGGATACGGGGTTGGAGGATGTTGGGGACCTTCTCTCCCTCTGGGCTCTGCTTTCACGAGAGCAGCTTTTCTCCGTCCTGGGGAGTTCCTGAGCCCCGTCGCGACGCTGCTGTACCCGCAGGTGTGTCCCACAGACATCTCTCGGATCACCTCTCTGAGCTGGTGGAACAGACCCTCAGTGACCTGGAGCAGTCCAAGTGCATCAGCATCGAGGACGAGATGGACGTGGCTCCTCTCAACCTGGGGATGATCGCCGCCTATTACTACATCAACTACACCACCATCGGTAAGGGCTCTGCAGGGGACAGGTACCGCACACAAGCGCTCGCCGGGCGTTCCCGCTCTCGGTCCCCTCTCTGCGTCGCTCCCCATGCCGCGGGTGATGGAGACAAGGTGCCGTGTGTGTGGTTGGGTGTGTAAAACTCTGTTCTTCAGCGCAAGGCTGGGTGTTACCTGCCCGAAGGCACCTCTGGTACCGTGGGGTTTTAATGCCTGTCTGGTTTTCCCTGACCCCTCTACCTCTCTGGCTTCCGCAGAGCTCTTCAGCATGTCCCTCAACGCCAAGACCAAGGTGCGAGGGCTGATTGAAATCATCTCCAACGCTGCCGAGTATGAGAACATCCCCATCAGGCACCACGAGGACAACCTGCTGCGGCAGGTAAGCGGCAGCGCGTCAGATCTGGGGGACGGAGAGGACGGACGTGGGCTCCTGCAGGGGTGGGGGAAGGAAGCTGCCCGCGTTTTCGGCTCTGTAGGGCTAAAGCGCTGAGGAATTTATCATTTCTCCCCATAGCTGGCTCAAAAAGTTCCCCACAAGCTGACCAACCCCAAATTCAACGATCCCCACGTCAAGACCAACCTCCTGCTGCAGGCTCACTTGTCGCGCATGCAGCTGAGCGCCGAGCTGCAGTCGGACACTGAGGAAATCCTCAGCAAGGTACGAGGGGGCGGGTGGGAACCTGCTGGCCTTGCCTGCGTCACCGCCTTGTGTCACTGCCTTCTGACCTGTCCCCATCCCTCGTCTCCAGGCCATCCGGCTGATCCAGGCCTGCGTGGACGTGCTGTCCAGCAACGGCTGGCTCAGCCCCGCGCTGGCCGCCATGGAGCTGGCACAGATGGTGACGCAGGCCATGTGGTCGAAGGATTCCTACCTCAAGCAACTGCCTCACTTCACCTCTGAGCACATCAAGCGCTGCACGGACAAGGTAAAGCTTGGGGGAAGCGCCATGGTCCTGCCCTCGCCCACCGGGGAGCCCCGGGTAAGCGCAGGGCTGAAAACTTCTTCCTTGCAGGGGGTCGAGAGCGTCTTTGACATCATGGAGATGGAGGATGAGGACCGGAACGCCCTGCTGCAGCTCTCGGACGCCCAGATCGCCGACGTCGCTCGATTCTGTAACCGTTACCCCAACATTGAGCTCTCCTACGAGGTGGTGGAGAAAGAGAGCATCCGCAGGTGAGGCGGGGAGGGGCGGCGCGGCCCCCTCGGCGGCTGCACTGGCACGGGGTGGGGGGGGTGCCCTAAAACCCTCTTGGTTCTGTCCACACAGCGGGGGCCCTGTGGTGGTGCTGGTGCAGCTGGAGCGTGAAGAGGAGGTCACCGGGCCTGTCATCGCCCCCCTTTTCCCCCAGGTACGTGCCAAACCCAGTGGCACTGAGGTGGCAGAAGTGTTTGGGGGGGGAATGTCCCCCACTTGCCCCCGTTAACTCTTTGCTCTCTGGCAGAAACGCGAGGAGGGTTGGTGGGTGGTGATCGGCGACTCCAAATCCAACAGCCTCATCTCCATCAAGCGGTTGACGCTGCAGCAGAAAGCCAAGGTGAGTGGGATCGGGCAGTGGGGTGCTCAGCACCCAAACGCTGGCAGTTTGGGCAAGCCGGATGGGTGCCCGGTCTCCCCTCTGCCACCCCAACACCGGTTCTTTCTCACCAACGTAGGTGAAGTTGGATTTCGTGGCCCCGGCTACGGGGACGCACAACTACACGCTGTATTTCATGAGCGATGCCTACATGGGCTGCGACCAGGAATACAAGTTCAGCGTGGACGTGAAGGAGGCAGAAAGCGACAGCGACTCCGACTAACGCGGGGCCGCAACGGGCCCCGAGGGGCTGCAGGTCCCGGCGAGGATTCCCCTGTGGTTCAGCCACCAAACCCCAGGCACAATAGCACTCGTGTCCCCCTCCTTTTGTGTGGTTTCCCTGTATTTTCCTGTTGTTTTTTTGGGTTAGTTTTCTTTTTTTAAGGTGTTGATGCTTTGTACAGTGTTTTTTAGACAGGAGCTGCGCGCAGAAGCGTGACTGCGGCGGCTGAATAAATCTCGAAGCCCATCTTGTCCTCTGTTGTGCTGGGGCTGGGGGGGAGAAAGAGGGGCAAAACCCGGGGTGACCCCCTCTGCTGTGACCCCGAGGCTGTCCCCCAACTCACCGACTACTCTCTGCCTTCGCTGTGGGGCTCAAAAAAGTTCATTAGCAGAACTAATTAAGGCAGAGTTGGCTTGGTGGCTGTTTCTAGGAGCGCTACGCCCCCTGCCAGCCCGCAGGAGCGGACCTAAAGGCTTCCCCTCGGGCTGCGCTTTGCCGTGAGGCATAAAACCAGCTCCACAGCGGAATTGTCCTCCCATGCCACCAACTCCGGCTCCCGGAGAGCACCTACCCCCTGTTCCACTCGCCCCGAGGGTGTTGGTGATGGCACCGAAAGGAAGAGCCGGAGGGTTTGGCCTGGAGAACACCAATTTATTGAGTGTGGGGGGAGGCGAGGGAGCAAGTCCTGCCCCGTCTCCCAAAGCCGGCTGAATCCTGGCAGCAGTGCCCTGTGCTTCCCCGGCGAGGCCGGTGGGACCCCCGTGGTCCTGGGCATGCAAAAGTCCAACGAGGAGGTTGGGCACCATCTTCCCTGCCCCGCTCTCCACACCGGCACAGGGCTGCGCCCCGGCGGCAGCGCCGAAGGGTCCCGCTGCCGGGCAGGGGGACGTGCCAGAGGGTTGAACCTCTCAGCAAACTTCGGGGCGCTGGTACTTCCAGAAGGCGATCTCGCCGTCGTCGCTGCAGGAGGCCAGCAAGCCCGGCTCCTTCGGGTTCCAGGCCACGCAGTTGACGTCCTGTGAGTGCGCCCGGGGCACGTGGTCAGTCAGGCTGAAAGTGGGCTGCCGCGGGTCGGAGGACGCGCTCTCCTCGAAGACCCGGGGGGCAGCGCCAGGCGTGTCACCCACGCTGCCGACGGGGAGAAAACGGAGCCGGGTGGCTCTGCCACTGCCGCCCTCCACTCACCACGCCACGTCGTAGATGGTCCTCGTGTGGTAGCCGGAGAGGTTGCAGACGCATTTCCAGGTGGGGTCGGTGCCGCTGCAGGCCACCCCTGGAAGGCAAGAGGATAACCTCAGCTCCCTGCCCGCTCTTCTCCCCAGCAGGTTACGAGCAGCTCTGCAGCACGCAAAGAAGGGCCGGGAGCTTCACCTTCATAGAATCATAGAATCGCTTTGGTTGGAAAAGCCCTTTAAGATCATCACATCCAACCGCTCCCCTACCCCTGCCATCCCACCCCCAAACCCCGGCCC